CTACCTTTCTCTTTTTTTAGCACGCCATTTGAAATTACTCACCGACTGCATCGATTTGATTGGCTGAGTAGCGTCACCTCCTTAAAACATTAAACAATAACTTTTTCAAACCTTTTTATCTTTATGTTTTAAACATTTTTTAAAAACATTTTTAACATTTTCAACATCGTGGATAAATCCTTATATGCTCCCGGCAACACACTGAACGTCAACTTTGTCTCCTTACACTCACCCCTACTTTAGTGGGAACAATGAGTCTGCATCTTTGATGCGCACAGGCGGATGATGCAGGGATCAGAGTCCTGCATCGGGTCGGGTACCCGGTGAAAAAAATGTTTGAAAAAATACCACCCGCAAATCACTTTTTTTGCGGGTGGTATTGTTTCAAACATTTTTTTCCGGGTTCAGTTCTGGGTAAAACAAAGAAGATGCGGGTCGGGTCGCGGGTGTTGCATAATAAATACATTTAAATAATAATAATTTAATTGAATGTTTAAAGATTCCTCAGACCTCTCCACTGCGGGACCGCGCATAATCATGACATCTGCACCGCATCAGTCTGCTGCTGAGCGCGCCAGAATACAGCATTGTAAATAACTCTTCCTCAAGAGCGAAATCCAACGTCTGGAAGGCTTTTGGTGTCATCCTAGATGGAGAAAATAACCAACATCCCATGCTTTTTGAGCCAAATACGCAACTGCGTGTGTTAATAATTGCATGTTTTCACTGCTCATAGGATATGCGGGTTCGGGTTGGTTTGGGGATCTTGTGCCGAAGGGTCGGGTCTGTTTGCGGAACTAATTGGCAATATGTGCGGGTGGCGGGGCAGGTTCGGTATTGCACGTCGCGGGTACAGGGCGGGAGCGGGTCTTGAAAATCAGACCCGTGCAGGACTCTGGCGGGGATGCAATGTAGACAGGAATGAACGCAGATCATCCTCTGGCTGCAGCCTTGACCGGTACTTGCTTTTGATCAAAGTCAATGTGGAAAACCCGGACTCACACAGGTAGGTGGAGGTGAAGGGAATGAGCACTTTTACAGCCTTTTTGGCGAGTTGGGGGAACTCGGTCTCCACAGTCCACAGACAGCCAAAAGTGTGCAAGTGACACTTTACTAATCTTTTTCTCGTTATTTTTTTCTCACGCTGCTCTCCCCTAAAGCTCTCTGGCGCCCCCCCAGGGAGGCGCACCTCACACTTTGAAAACCTCTGGTCTGAATCCTAAATGGGGCCACAATTTACCAAACTTGTTCATGTACAGTATCATATGCCAACAACAATCTATGTGATAATGTATACACTACAGCACAAAATAAATTGTCTCCAGTTTCTGTCTTTCTAATATTCAAACATATAGTATATTTTTAAACTTTGACCATTCAAGTGTGTTTGCATTATTAACCGTGAGTGGTATTCTACAATTTGGGGTTAGTGTGCGTTTGTGTGAATACTGCCTCTAGGCGGCACTCTGTAATAGCTGCCTCTCTCTCTCGCTCTGTACCGCTCTGTCTCTCTCTCTCTCACACACACACCCTATCAACAGTCACGGAGAATTCCTCCTTACTCGCACCAGCTCTTAGTTACCATGGAAACCAATAAAAGAGCGGTTTAAGATGGGATGTGTGTTTGTGCGTGTGTGTGTGTGTGTGAGAGAGAGAGAGAAAACAGAGAGAGAGTAAATCAGACAGAGTCAGAGGACGTAAGAGCAGGCTAGAATAAGGGAGAGAGAGAGGATAAAATAACAGGAAGTGAGAAATAGTTACAGAAAAAAGGAAACGGAAGAAGATGAAAGAGGAAAGTGTGAGGGCATCAAAAGAGGAGAAGAGAGGAGACAGAGGGAGTGTAAGTGGGGATGTATTATTTAAAGAGGTCTCACCCCATCTAATGAGTTTGGTCTAAAAGCCCCAGGAGCTGCCCAAAGAAAGAGAGAGAGAGAGAGACAGGCAGACAGACAGACACACTTCTAACTATGTGGTGAGAAAATCCAATGTGCAATATGAGCAGAGAGCAAGATGACTGTGTAGGACTGGATTTAGTTAAATTGTTCTGCTTTGATTATGTGACTGTCCTTAAGTGTAGAGTGTGATCTCTGCAGATCCATCTATGAATCTGGGACAAAGTAAGGGCCTCGGCCAGGAACCAGATCCAAGTCTGTCTCACTGTGAGAAAACGACAAACAACTCCATTGAAGAATACAGGGTCAGTCAAGAGCTTCTAAAACACAGTCCCAAAGAAAAATGTGGATACAACAATGGTTTCTGTTCTATATAAATGTACAATAATTAGGGCTGTCAAGTTAACGCGTTAATAACGCATAAAAAAATTAACGCCACTAATTATTTTAACATGATTAACGCATGTGTATTTTTTGTCCTCGAGTTTTAAAATACCTTCTACAAGCTGATGCTGACAGCCCCGCTCCTGCCGTCCGCTTGCACTTCCACGCTCACCGCAGGGCACCGACTGGCCATCGTGAGGGTGTGTGGCGCGGAGCAGACGCGAGAGAGAAAGAGAGAGAGAGGACCTTACGTGGTATTTGTGTTTGTTAGCATCTGGTGCTAGCCTGTGCTAGACGGATCCGTCATTTTCCAATGATCACCAGAGGAGCGACATTGTCGCCAAGCAGCTTGACTTATGCAGGTAGCCAGACAGTGGACATTGTACGAAAAGTCAGCATCACTCCAGCACGGATAGTGCGCGCAACATGATTGCAGCTGTCCAGGCAGCTCCCCGTTCGAGCCATATATGCCCTTGAGTTGCACATAGATCCCAACGATCCCATCACACAACCACACACCACACAACACACACACACACACAACACACACACACACGACACCACACACACACACACACACACACACACACATCACACACAAAAAGCACACACATCACACCCACACACACACACCACACACACAACACACACACACACACACCACCACACAACACACACACACACACACACACACCCACACACACACACACACACACAACACACACACCACACACACACACACACCACACACACCACACCACCACACAGCACCACACACACACACACACACACACAGCCACACACACACAACACACACACACACACACACACACACACACACACACAGTATTGTAGAGAGGAGGTTCCAGGTTGAAATTTGAGGCTAATATTTGTAATGTTCAGAGGTTTTGTGTTTAATATTCATGAGAATATTGTCATTGTTCAAATGATAATAACATTAGCATAAAGCATATTTGTCCACTCTATGTTGATAAGAGTATTAAAAACTTGAAAAATATTCCTCTAAGGTACATTTAGAACAGATATAAAAATTTGCGATTAATTTGCGATTAACTATTTAATCGACTGGCAGCCCCTAACAATAATATAATAGATATTTGTTAAGTCTTGTGTTGGTATAGTTGCCAATATAGTCTGTCTCTGTTCTCAGATATGACAAACAGTGTTCTAAGGTCATTCTTCCAGCGTAATGATCTGTGAAGCGACACTTAAAAGCTGCAGAGTATACATGTTAACAACAGTAACAAGCTGACAGAAACACACCTTATACTATCATTATGTCAAAATCAATTGCAGTAAAAGAACATTAATCAATTCTAGCTGAAGTTTCGAGTAGTTTCAAATCCTTTTTTTTGTATAGAGGACCATTAGTTGTTGTTGTTCCATTTATAGCCATCAAATGTGTATGAAATATCAATACTTGGCTTCTGTTCACAAATACATTATTGTGGATAAAGGCATCTAAATATTACACCGAATCAATTTCAGCTCCACTTTATGTGATAATGAATACAAGTTATTTATGTTGCCACCAAGAAGTTCTGGTAATGTTTGTGTAGTTAAATTATGTGCTGAATTACCAACTATCTGATGGCCAGCTTGATAGTTGGTTGAATTGAAAGACTGCCATATTACTTTAAATTCATGAAATCTAAGTGTAAAACAAAAATGTAGGAATTGAACTTCCTGTAAAATAATGTATCTAATGGTTGTGTTCAAGACTACAGCTGGACAAAGATGTTATATAGTTTAGTAACACATATAAAGTTGATAAGTGGCAGTATCATTGAAATAAACTGAAAGAAAGTGAACATAACATTGAATGACATGAGAAGTTGTTTTTCTTGGTTGCTGTGCTCCAATAGCTACTGGATACAATAATCTCATCTTTATTCTCTACAAAAACCTATACAGTAATCCCAGTTTATATTGTCCCACAGACATTATTAAACACAGCTTCATATGAGCTTTTTTAAGTGTTTGAAGTATAAGTACTGTAAGTCTGTACTGTGTGTGTGTGTGTGTGTGTGTGTGTGTGTGTGTGTGTGTGTGTGTGTGTGTGTGTGTGTGTGTGTGTGTGTGTGTGTGTATGTCTGCATATATGTGTTTGTGCTCATTTAAAATTCTGTCCCTGTCCTGCCACCTCGCTCTGTGGCTTATTTGAATATTTACCTTTGGCACCAGGCCAGGTTTGTCACTGCGAGACAAACAAACACACACACACACACACTTGATTGGCAGTTTGGCAGGGTGTCACTTCCTTGGCTCTCTGAGCTGTCAATCAATTAGACAGGTCAGCCCTCCAATCCCTGACAGACTCTCAGTCTGTCTCTGAAGTTCACACACACACACACACAGACAGTATACACACACACACACACACACACACACACACACACACACACACACACACACACACACACACACACACACACACACACACACACACACACACACACACAGTTCTTGGCCCAACCTCACATCATAGCAAGTACTTCAAAATATAAGCATCTTAAAAGTGGCACAACAGTTATATTGGCATTTATGAGATTGTCCTATTGGACCGTGAAAGCTGGCCATTGAGTGTTTGTGCACGCAGATTGTTTTTTTTTAAAACAATTTATCATAAGCGATATTTCCCCCACATGACACTTTCATCATCATGGTGTTTGTAAAGCTGCAGTTATTGTATGTATCTCCTACCTTTACATGTTGGCAGTGCCCTGTCCCACACAGGCTTCCCATCATTCCCCATGACACAGGTGATGCTTTCCCCGCCCATTGTTGTGTAGCCATGGTGACAGTTGTAAGAGACCTGAGATCCCAGTTTATAGTCATATCCGGTCCGACTGCCGTTCATAATGTTACCAGGGTCAAAACAGGCCTCTCTTGGTTTTTCTGTGGAGAATGGGGAGTAAAAGTTAGTGTAATCGAAAAAGGACAAGGATCAACTATTTTGAATATCACTAAACTACTAATGTTTGGATTTTTTCATAATTTTTGTATCTGTAAATTCATGAGATCTCTTATCAGCACCTGGTATCAGTTTCCCATGCGGTGAGGGAAAGGGCTCAGTAACAGGCAGGGTTTCTATCCACATGGTGGAATTGATGGCAAATTAATGCTTTTTCGTTACAATTTGGATAAACTAGTGCATTTCCTGTTCAAAATATGCTTCAGTATTTCTGTTTGCAGATTTCTTGAATAACACTAATCCAGATAACGTCACACTAAACACTTCCTTGGGTTCTAAGCAATACACCTGCCGTGACAGGGTCACATCTAGAAATGCTGGAGTTCACCTATCATTTGGGTGCAATACATCACAAGAATCAAAAGACAGCAAACTGTTCCCAGAATGCCATTCAGCAGTGTAACAGTTAATAAGGGTCCCCTCTTTCTACACTCAAAGTGTGTACCCTACATAACCCATTACTAATAAATATGACCCATTAATCTCTAGAGCACACTTGCAAAGTGCACACATATAAACAGACATGCATTTGAGTTAGTTATTAACTCTAAATTGTGTCTAAAATGTTTATGCAGCTCAATAAAAGGACATTTCAGCTTCCATCAGGGGTCAAACACTATTGGAGGGACTTGACAGGCTGCTATTTGTAGACTAATATAGATCATATAGAATATTTGCTTTTATATCATCTCCCCCTTGGGAGAGGAAGGAACAAATAAGGGTAATCGTGCAGTCAAGATAACTCAAAACTGTCTTGGCTATTTATGACGTGGCACTGGGCCAGCTTGTTTGCTTTACTGTGATCGCCCAATAACAGTGAGATATTGGGCCTGACAGAGGAAAACCGCCAGACAGAGAGAGAGATGGAGGGCGAGATGGAAGTGAAACAGGGAGATGATTAAGGTTGTATTTTAATTAGAGAGATGGCAGAAGAAAGGTAGTGAATTAATGACAAAAGTACAGAGGTGTGAGGCAGCGTGAGGAGACAGACAACAGAGAAGGAGATAATCTTTTTTTAATTAGAAATACATGGAGTGAGAGAAACACGAGGAAAAATACTTCATAACATTAGACAGAGCAGTCTCTAGTCTCTAGTCAGTCAAACAACTAATCATCAGCTCTGCATTGTCTGTGGCTGTTAAATCACCCCCAGTCAAGCAACATCTGTAAAACCAGTATGAGTCACAATCTGTGAAAGTAAGAAAGCCATGGGCTGACATGGAACAGCAGCCGTTCCAACTGGAAAACTCTTCTAATAAACAGAAAGGGAGAAATTACTTGAGTAAGATATAATCCAATCAACAGAACACTCCTGTATCAAATGTGTTGTACTCAATGTCAATCCAAATATGTATCAAATACAGGGGCAGGGTTAGGATTAAAATGTAGAGTGAGAGCATTTCACATTGACTTTGCGTCGGCAATCTGTGTGTGTTGACTAATTTACTCAGACATGAGCTCATTACACAGTCAGCTCCTGAGCTGAACCTAGGACTGCCCTGTACGACACACTCTGCAAGTGAAGTACAACTCATCGGCAGTTCAGCAGTGGGATGTATATATAGATGCAGAAATGCAGCAATTCACTTAAATGCCATAACATTGACTTAAAAGCAAAGTCTGCGGTGATTTAACAGTTCAATGATGGTCAAGTAAGATAATGTAAGTTTGATAAATGAGAAGCAACAACCTTTAACCACTTTAAGTTTAAATTACAGTTATCAGATCTTGTGTTCATTATTAATTATCACATTTTTCTAATAATCTATTTTTTGTTTTAAAAAAGCTTATATTTAATTGCAAATTCCTGCATCAATCACAAGCAAACTGAGACTCTAGCCAGATGTATCTGTCGACACATTCAGCACATGTTTGGGCTCTTTCTGCCCTATACAAAATCATAGTCTGCCCTATACAATATTAAAAGTGTAATACGGCACTGATTTCTCCTGCAATCCATCAAATATAATAATCACAGCTAGTTAGTGGAATATTTTTGTAGCTTTGAACTTAATCAGGCCCAGAATCGAGTGCCAATGTATTACTTTTGCTGCAACGAAAACTGTCGCAGATTATTACCAAGACTACATATACTGGGCTTTTAGTAATGCAGCTTCTCTAATACCGCTAAACTACTTCCGTTTCTAATAATACTGCAGTTAAAGTTCTAGTACCACTGTGATCAGTACTACTTCAACTGTTACTTTTCGTTCTACTTCTTGCTATACGTGTACTACCACAACTAACAATCGTCTGTAAATTAGACTGCTTTGAAACATTTCCTAAGAACAATTTCAGCAGGAAAGATAAACAAGGACTTTGTATTAAAAGCACAGTTTTTGGGGTGTAGTTACCTCTGAATTCGATGGCGAACCCAGACATGCCCAGTGAGGCGTCCGATCTGAACGCCAGGAAGAGACTGTTACTGCTGCTCTCTATTCGCTCTGGGGCCTGGTTGCCTTGGAGACTTGCTAGTAACGGCCCATTAGAGTCTTCACCCTCGTAGATGTGCAGGAAGTCGTAACTTGGCTCCATGTTGAAACTGGGGTAGAAAACAAAAAGAAACTTGGGGTTAAGAATCCAGCAAGAGTGTCTGCATAGTTTGTTTGTGCTCTTTTTTCAAATGCTCTAATCAAATGATGTATGTTGTATTCAAATGGTTGTATAATTAATCTAATGACTGCCAATTAGTGTGTGCTATCATTCTTCTAATGGTCTGTTATCTCACCTTCATTTTGACATGTTTACTGGATTTTTTATTAAGTGGAATACAAATGTAAACTTTAAATATTTATTGTTGGTTTTCTCTTGAATAATTTAATACGGCAATATATTGTCAAAAATAATTGAACTTCATAGATATTTAACAAACATAACAATGGTGTGTGTGCTGCTGCAAAGCAGTCGTGCTGCATCATCTGAATATTATATTGGAGAAACTGTTGTCTCACTCTGAAAGTGTTTGTAAAGATCTATTTGATTTATATCCTCAGTATGTGTATGCATGTGTTTGTTTGGCACAACATATTATATTTAACCTGCAGCCTAACCCTACAGGAGCTCCTAAAGCATATTTCTTGGTAAAAGATTTTCTGGTTTTCACTTCGACAGCATTTCCTCTTCTCTCCATACATAGGTGAAGACATGCAGTCCTCGTAAGGGTAAAAGTCCAACAACAGACACACACACACAAGGTCTTAGTGTATGTTGCGTTAGCATAGTCTCGTATCTGTCCAAAATGTGTCTGTAAGTGTACAGACCAACAAATATATATATATATATATATATATATAAACCTCCCTCTATGGTTTCTTGAGTGTGTATGAGCTCGGTCTACTACCTGTCTGGTAAAACTACACCTTAGTGTTATGGAAGTCAAGGGACTTAACTGTGTGTGTGTGTGTGTGTGTGTGTGTGTGTGTGTGTGTGTGTGGTGTGTGTGTGTGTGTGTGTGTGTGTGTGTGTGTGTGTGTGTGTGTATGTGTGTGTGTGTGTGTGTGTGTGTGTGTGTGTGTGTGTGGCTATCTTACACTGGCTTTTAGGCTTGATTTGAAGATAGTATTGATTACTTACAAAGCCCTGAGAGGCCTTGCCCCATGTCATGTATCGGATCTTTTATTGCCCTATGTCCTTTGTCGCACCCTGAGGTCGTCTGATGCGTCCCTCTTTGTTGTTTTTAGGTTCAGATTCATACTCTACACTATACTCTGAAAATGACCAGCCTGAGGTGATCATGGCTGTAAACTTTGTCGGATCGTTTACATCACTTTCAAACCCTACTATTTTAAAATTGATTTTCAGTTATTTATTTATGTTTAGGGAACTCTAAGTTGGTTTTGATCTCTGTGTTTTATTCTCAGTTGTTACGTTAATTTATTTGTCTTTGCATTTCAAATGTCGCCATTGTGAAGCACTTGTATATTATTATAATCATGTACAAAAGGAAACCTTTTTATGTCACAAGCACTGACATAATATAGGAACATTAGTGGATAATAGGAACATTTCAAACATCTTCCAAATCAATGTTAGGAAATGAAACACGTACGTTTTGCGTAGAAGTAAAAAAGAATACCATAGAGGCCAGACACAAAAAGACAATCAATAATTTATGATATTCAAAAGAATACCAAAGTTCAAATAAGTATAAAGAATGCTCGTGTTTAAGCCCTGTGTATCTATCTGGTACAGAATGGGCTTACAGTAACTGCACATAAGCCCTTTTGCCACTGACAAAGCATTAAAATGATCCGTGCTAATACCTTTTGCATTAGTGATACATCCTTGTCTGAATTCTAAAGCCACTAAATGTCAAGAACATAAAGATCTCACAGAACAAAAAATGGGACAACAACATAACCTCTCATGACCGCATGTGTCTGTTAAGACTTCAATTCAAATTAAGAGCAATGCTGAAAACATTTCTTACTAATTAATGATGTATGTATCTCCATCTCTGTTTTTGGCTGCTAACCTTTAAGCACTACTATAAAAGAAAGGTCAGTTCTATGTGGACACTAACATTATCGTTTTGTGACACCACAAACTTGATTCTCACGATATTTAAGTAACAGTGATTTGATTCAAAAACTGAACAAAGGAATGAATCATCACAAATTGGGGCAAATTGTAGTCCAGCTGTATTTCTAAAAACAAAATTACTAGGATCGAATTGGACATACAATGAAAAAAGAAAATGCACACAGCATTCACATAACAATCAAATTCAAGACAACTTAATTAAAAGTAAAATAAAAACTGTCTAACTGTTAGTAAAGAAGGGAATTATCTTTCCAGCTGAAAAACATGAAGCCAAAATTGGGTCATTTTTTCTCCTTTGGCTATCCGCTTTGCTTTTTTCTCCTTTGGCTATCCGCTTTGCTTTTTTCTCCTTTGGCTATCCGCTTTGCTTTTATCTCCTTTGCTATATGTGAAACTCTTCATTTTCGCCTTAGTCATAAGCCCCTAACCACTGTGACTTGTAAAAATATTCACCACTGAGGCACAATCAGGACGGGAAATGTAAACAAACACTGCCCTATTACCAAAAAACAAAAACACAGAAACACTGAGAAATCCCTTTCTCTTTACTCCCGAATATCACTCTCCAAATCAACAAAGTTTATCTGCCAACATATGTAAAAAGTTCATGCAATTCTATTTTCTCATATTATGAATCCTGTCTTCAACGATGCATAGGAAATACATCATACATTTCAACTTCCTGAATCTATGCAAGATAAGACCATCTCACCACAAACCAAACATTAAGTTACAATAGTTATGTCAGTGGATTTGAATGTAGTTTTTCAGACGGATTAAGCTTTCCTGACCCAAATGGGTTTATTAGTTACCTTAATGATCCTTTACTGAGTGTTAGTTTACATTAGACTGAACTGGACCTGATCCCTGACGATACAGCAGAGACCTCCTTCACACTGTAACGGCCCGTCCACACGGCGGCGTGCGTTGAAGCTTCAACGCTTCTGCCCATTCACTTTGAATGGGGTGACGTCACGCTTTGCCGAACTGCATTGTGGTTCCGTTGCTTCGCTTTGCTCGCAAAAGTGGAGCAATGTTCAACTTTTGAAGCTTCGACGGAAGCGTCAGCCAATCAAATCATATGCCAGTACAAGCTCTAGCCAATCAAACCGCGTGCTTGTGTGTCCGGGGCGGGAGATTCATGTGATTGGTTGTTGGTCGAGTTTCAGACACACCCACTGGCAAGCTTCAACGCACGCCGCTGTGTGGACGCTGCGTAAGGGGCAGTGAGGCATGACATGTCTCCACTCACTCACTAACTAAACTCATAAAACAAAGTCCATGGAGGGTGATACTTTTTTTAATTTAAGCCAGTAGAAAAAACACATTTAAAAAACAAATCTAATGGGACCCTGTTCAACCTTTAAATCTTTAAGTTCAAAATGTGTTATGCTTCCTCAGGTATTTGGGTGGACTAATTAGAAATGTCTTTAATGAGTGAGATCAGTGATCTGCCCTGCTGTGTTTGTTGCAGCCTCAACATGCAGGAAAACACACAAAGATGTTGCCCTCTTATCTGTCTACTTTTATTGTAATATTATTTGTGATCTGTTAGCAATCCTTCTTCAACACCTAACAAATGTTTAATGAACACTGGTTTGTCATAAAGCAATCCGTTTATTTGATTAATATTTAGACACTTCTCATTGTTGCCCGTCTAATGCATCTAAGTCCACAAAAACATGGACAGCTTTTTAAATATCAAATACAAGAGAGGAACGTCTGAACTCTGACCGGAAACTCTAAGCTCTAAATATATTGCTCTATGAGCACAGACGGGCTGCGTTCCTGGTATAAAGCTTAAGAATACATATCAGGAAGGTACACAGTGCATACATAGATACAGAGCCAAGGTTTACATTTTGCCGGCTTACCTTTTGAAGATGAGAGCAATGACAAAGTCTGGGTTGACCCTGACTCTCCAATCACACTCTTTCCCTGCGGGGTAAGGCTGGGGGTAGTTAGGAGACAGAATTACTCCTGAGGGGCCGCTGACGTTACCCCCACAGGTCGCTGGAGATAAATAGTAAGAGAGAGACGGAGAGAAGAAGGTAGAAAGGGAAAGAGAAGAAGAAAGATGATTACGCAGCATTGGCCTTGGGGTAATTTAGAAAGAGAATCACTCCTGGTTGACCACACATATTGCCCCCACAGGTCGGCATAGTGGAAGAGAGTTAGTTAGCGATGGGAAGTATGGCAGAGGTTGGTTAGAAGAGACAAAATGACTCCCAGGTGGGCCGTTGATAAAACCGCCACAGGTAGCTGAAGAGGTTGAAAGAGCAAAAAGGAGATAGAGGTAGAGACTGAGATTTAGACAAAGTGTGAGGCTGGGGGTAGTTAGCAGAGAGAATCACCCCTAGCGGTCCTGTTATCCCACAACAAGCCAGAAAGCAGGAAAGAGATATTGGCAAGAGAGACAGAGAGAGATGCATTCAAGCAGCAATTTGGTGATGTGAAGAAAGGATTTGAAACATGGAGAGGTGTCTTGGGGGTGGCAGGTGGGTGTGAACGGATTATCAACCCTGAAATAGAGGTAAACAAAGGCATTAATAGTTGCACATCACTCACAGACACACACGCTCTTGGTTTAATCTGAGGAGCGCTTGAACACCCAGGGAATCACCTCCCAAGGTGAGCGTGCAGGAGAGAGAAGCGCACGCAGACTAAGCTAAGAGACAAAGATTTACGCCCTACATTGTATCTACAGTCGCGCAAAACGTGAGGTCACTGGTAAAGAGTCAGAGCAATATCAGGAACAAAGCATAAAGGTGTTTCACAGGCATGGTTACAAGGCAAGTCTCTGTGAGCGTGCTTCAGGACTTCCCAACACGGCTGGCTGATAAAGAGAGGGGAAGGAACATAAAGGGAGCTCCAGGGTCACCACGGTGATAGATGTTGCAGGAATATTCCCCAACTTGCTAATGTTGTTAAAATCAACATTTCAGCTGTGTCTTATTTTATACCTAATCCTGCATAGTAACAATAAAAACACGCAGCCCCACACCTTTATGGTTATCTCTGGTGATTTTCCTCATCCATCTAAGACCGACTCGACACTAGATATTTCATGTGCACGGTAATTGGTCCGTCAGTGGCTCAGTCAGTAGGGGCTATGAGGCTTAGGGTCGCCGGTTCAAGCCCCCGACCAGACCTAAATATGGAGTGTGGACTGCTACTTGGAGAGGTCCCAGTTCACCTCCTGCCCTGCCGTGGTGCCCTTGAGCAAGGCACCGGATATCCCCCCACTCCCATTGCTCCCCGGGCGCTGTACAATAGCTGCTTACTGCTCCTAGTACTAGACTCCTGGTACTAGGATGGGTCAAATGCAGAGAACACATTTCACTGTGTGCTGTGTGCTCTGCATGTGTGACCATTAAAGAGGGTTTCATTCTATGATTCTAATTGCACATGAAATAACTGGATCCAGCATGTATTTGTCACCCAAAAAAGGCATGTAGTTTAGCAGCATCAAACTACCGGCTGGAAAGTGTGGTCAGGAATGTGCTACAGGCTTCGTTTGCACTAAAATGGGATTTCTATCTTGTACGGTGAGGACACTGAAGGGCTCTTGCTGCATTACAGATATCATCTTTTACTTGCACTGACTCTGCTATTCCTGTACCTTCTCAAGAAAGGCAGTCTTCCCCTCCTTCCTTCTTTAAGAGAAGAGAGTCAAGTGTGTCAGAAGGAGCCGATAAAGGAAAGACACCCAAAAGTGGGAGAGACAAAAAGAAGAACTGCAGCCCAATCGTGTGAATGCGGTGTGGAGTGGGATGCGGAAGCTCTCTGGGTTATAAGCAGCAGGTGGGCCAGATGGTTGTGATGATAGAGAAAAAAAGCATTGTTGTTTTTCAAAGCTTTCAAATAGAAACCCTTTGACAGATTCCTGCGTCATTCCGTTTTTTCTCCAACCCTACTGTACCTCTCCTCTTCTGAATGTGTGTGGTCCACAGCGACACTGCTGAATACTTATCCAAACCTTAGTTCTTTCAGCACCTGTTCTGATCTTAAAGACCAAGCATCCAGAATGAATGGCTCTGACAGCAGCATCATTTGGGATTGGAGATCCTCTCACCAGCAAGCCTGGGTTGATGTGCCTTCAGAGAAGTGTATCAGATGTGGCAGAACAACACAGAGAGCTGTTTGTTGTCTGCTCTCTACACTTGAGATTTAAGATACACCTTTGGATCATTCCTCTTCCTAAAGGCTCTGCACTTGGTGTTTCATTGTTTGATAAATTCATTGCAGCTTCAAATGGACGTTATCTAAAATCTTAATATCCATATTTAGTCTCCCATTTTTAATGTACAGTATGACATTGAAGTCTCCAACTCATTAATGTCAGAGCACAGTATCATTTTTTAATTTAATGTAATCTCAGTTTGGCAGTCAGTTATCTACAGATAAATGTACACCTACCGATACACATTGGGGGGTCAGGTTGCCAGTAGAATCTGTTATCCATCCGTACACATGTGATGGTGTCGGAGCCTTGCAGCTGGTATCCTGGGTCACACTGGAAGGTCGTACTGTCTCCAGGCTCCTTACTGTCGCCGTATCGAGAACCATTCACAGGGATGCCGGGGTCATTGCACGTTGTTGCTGTAGTAGCTGGAGAAAGTGAGACGGACAAGGCGAGACAGTTATTGACCTACTGTTGGTTGGAGGACACTATCAGTACTATTAATTATATTCTTACTGTATTTTGACTGTTGAAGATAGCAAGGTTTAGCTTCAGTTAAAGTGACAACTTCAACTGACCAGTTAGAGACTAAATGGTAAGTTCCTTTAGGTGCAATGAAATGTGGTCTTTGTTTTGTTTTTTCACTAGTGGATCCTCCTTAGGGTAAGCTGTGTGGATTCACAACAATCAGCGTCTGTGTGTGGGGGTTTCAGCTACTGGGTTTTAATTGTTGTTTGAATTACCTAAGAGTGTTTCCACTCATATCAATGAATCAAGTTCAAAAAGGCAAAACAAATGTTATATATGTTTATAAGTGTCTATGTATGACATAATCTGTGTAAAGCATATTTTTGTCAAAAGAATAATGTTATGATCAAAAAAGAGGTTGAGTGTTGGAAGGAAAAACTTAGACTGTAAAATAAAAATGCCAATCAAAATTAGACGTCCTTTTTTTTTAGGTTTCATATGTTGGTGTTCCTGTGAACAACTGGAATAGGCAGGCATGTGTTACGTTTCTTTTAGTTTGTATGTTATGTTTCAGACAGTGGACATACAAGGCACTGCTTGAATCCTCATTAAACAGTAGACTCATCATTTCATCTCATGAAGCTTCGGATTCAAAGAAAGTTTCATCTCAAATATTAGCTAGAGTTCTGGCCAACATTGTTGTGGAAGCCGGCCTTCTGATTTACAATCCTGACTAAATATATGTTATCTTTTGCATTTATATTACAATTTGTATATAGCATAAAATCGTATAAAACATCACATTTATAATATTATTTTAGTAAATAAGTTTTTTGTACCATCAGGAACACAGAAAGTGTAAAAAGATCAAATTAGAGAAAAACCTAAATGAATGGGTATTTACAAAACCCCCCCCAAAAAAACCCACTCAATAAATTCACAAAGCCTTGCTTTAAATAATCCTGTGTGGTGGCAAAGACCATTATCTTTGCATCAGTAAATCAACATTGGGGTAAATATAAGGAGTCATTACCATAGTAATGGAATAACACTGCTGTGATTAGCATGTTTGTGAGTGCAAATATTTATTGTTTTAAATAAGGGGAGCAAGGCGAAAAACTAATGTGAGGGAGAGATTGAGAAAAAGAGTGAGGGACAGAAAGCATTGGATGTAAATATTTTTGACTGGATGTATGCATCATTAAAACAAGTTCATGTGTGTGTTAGAGTGTGTCTGCCGCTTTGCATGTGGATTTATACAAACAACAGAGGAAGTGGAGGTGTTGTGCTGTAAATAAATGCTATAGAGAAGATATACGAGCACATGAACGTGTGGGTGTGTTTTTAAAGTTGATATGAGTGTATGCCTCTGATTGATTTCGCTGCCACAGAGGATGGCATTGACTTTGGCCAATGACTCTAAAAGGACTGTGCACACATGTTTGGGTCCAGTGGCTCAGCAGCGAACGCCACGAGTGCAACCAAGGGGAACAGTTATTGTCCAGTTTGCTCTTCTTGAAATGATATGATGAAAACACTTCAAACCTTTTTAAATACTGAGATTCATAGTTGTTACTTTTGTAAGTTCAAACCCTCAAAATGAATGAAAACGACTTTTTTTATTAGCCTATAAAAATAACACACTGCACATGTTTTATATTATTACTCAAATGTATCAATATCCTTAATTATTATATACCAACCCTGCTAGGGGGGGGGCTCTTCACTTTATGAGCCTCGGCCCCAGAGGGTGAGATATTACATTTAATTCCATTTGATTCTTTGGCTAAAGGTTTTTCAGAAATCCTGTTAAATGCAGCGTTAATTCCACATTAATTTTCCTACAGCTAATATAAATGAGGTTTATATCATAATTAAGACTATTAGTGTGATGAGTTTATTAACTAGCTATATTAATTGCTAATTCCAAAAAAGCTTTTTCATCATAAATGGATGATGGGTGTAGAGGGAGAGAGATCATCCAAATCAATAAAATAATTGTGCATTTTTTACGTTTGACGATAAGTTTACTTACTAGAAAACTGGATAGAAAATCCTTGCTTGCTGATGAAATAATCAGTATCAAACTGCAGTGTGAGTATGTTGAAAGTCGAGTGGATATCTTCAGGTAAGGCTGGGCCGGACCATTCTTTCAACAGGATCCCCCCGTCTGACGGCCCAGATGGACCATCCCAAACTCTCAGGATATCGTGACCGACCTCCGTGTCAAAGACAATGAAGTGGAGGCTGAGGAAAACACACACATTACACAAGAGATCAGAGATCAAATACAAACATTAACATCTGTTCTTTATTCAGCAGCTTTACCCAAATCAAGTCAACCATCAAAAAATGATGAAGCAGAGGTTGAAGATAGACACATCACACAGCAGGGGCCACACTGTGTTGAGAAACACAGTGATGGCATAATGACTAATGTAGTGTACTCTCCTACACAGCAGCTCATTACCTGACAGTCCTGTAAGTGTTAAAGTGTAAAGTCCTTGTTAAGAGAGTTAACTAGTAAGCTTACCTCAACTTAGCCAGAGCAAAGCAATTCTGCATATACGTGTTGGAATAGCTGTTGTCTTATTCATATTTTCCTTTCATTTAAATCTGCAGGACATCATCATTCTAAAGTGCTTCACGATTACCTGATAGTCTTGCCCGTGTCAGCCTCTATGGTCCAGGTGCAGTGGAGGTTGTTGTCGTATGGAGCAGGATATCCTGGAGAAAGTATCCGTCCAGAAACGGCTCCAGTCAGGTGACCTCCACACTCCGCTAGAATCACGAGACAAAAGGGTGAACATCACAAGGACACCACATTTCATAGGTTTTCACCTCTTTTGATTTATGTCCTTTGAAATGTATCGATCAAATCATTACTAAAACAACAAAACCGCTGCTCTAACGATACTTCACACATTTACCTGGACATATCAAAGACAGCAGGAGCATCAAAGCATTTAACAAAGTAGAAATAAACCCATCTTTTCAAGGATTGCTGCTGGGTTACTACGAATAAAAAACTCTGCTGTAGATAGTGTTGGAGACTTGCAGCAACAACTCGGTTATAAAATCCACTTTATTGAATGAAAAATACATTTGAACTGTATTGGAGACCGTGAGTCCCTGAATCAACTTTTCATAAGGTGACCTTATAAAGAAAATAACTCCTTAAGTTAGGCAAATTCACTTGTGGTGGATCTGAAAAAAATTATAACCCGATCTGATACAAGGCTTCTTGCTCTGGGTTCCTTTCCCTCTTCTATCCATGAAGCAGATCGAGAGTCCCATCCTCTCGAGCGATCTTCAGAGTCTCGCTATCTCTCTCCTTCTACTCTCTGCTTCTCGCTCATGCTCTTTCTTCCTCTCTCTCTCTCTCTCTCTCTCTCTCTCTCTATCTCTCTCTCTCTCTCTCTCTCTCTCTCTCTCTCTCTCTCAGATTCACAGATAATGGCTAGGACTTTATCTTATGTAATTAATAATGAAGTGTGGAAAAAACATTTTCGTCATGCTTTCACCCATCCTTAAGCCAAACACAAAACTAACAATTTAAGTTGTACATACACACAGACCCATTTCAAATATAATTTTCAAAAATAAAATGCAGAACTTCTTTCTGCAAAAGTTTGAAAAGATGAGTTCCAGCTGACTACGGATCTGTACAGGAGTGTTTTCTGTATCATACTTGTTTTTGCTTAGGGAACATGAACCTTCCTTCTATTGCATATCATGTTTAATAACTGTTGTCTCTGTTCTTTAGGGTCTGTTTGGGTCGACTGTGTTCAGCACTGGGTCTATTTTTGAGTCCCTGTATGGTATTTCTTCTTGTCTTCTCTCCAGTCCTTCTACAGTTTTAGCTCATCTCCATATCTCTATAAGAGGTGATTACTTTGCTGTAAATAATCCTGGGATGTGAAGGTTGAGTTAAATGAAAATCCATTTAAAAAGGCCTTGAATCACTAAATCAACCTTGAATTATCCAAGTTCCTGCTATACAGTTTTATGTGTTGTGAATAACTTGAATGGCTGTTTTCCCTCTAAGGGACTCCCAATAGTGTTCAATTTCAAGAAAAGATGCAGTTTATTGCACAAGAGAAGACTGTCTTTTAATGTTATTTTTGTATTGTCTTCAATGGCGAGTATCAGCAGAGATAGCAGGAAGCAGGGGAAAAGGCTGGGAGCAGATTTTGAACTCATCATGGAAGTACATGGCAGCCCACTGAGCAACCAGATCGCTGCAGATTAGAAAACTGTTTTGTATAGGGAATGCTTCATATCAGTGAGTGCATGGTGTGTTTGTGTGACTTAAGAGGGCACCATTAACTCAGCTCTGCAATCTACAATAATATGACAACCCCGTTGCTATTGTATTACCCTCGGCAGAATGCTCACAAAAACACATTCATATGTAAACACAAACACAAAGGAGATAGCAAATGACAATCAAATACATGGCCGGAAATATACTTGAAAGCACTTTACCAGACACATAAAAATACAAACATAGCAGGAAAGTAACTACGAGATGGTGCATCTCAAGGGGTTTATCCCAATGAATAAAAAGTTCTATATATACTTCACTATGTTTTATCTTGAAATGCCGGTAGAGAGGATATGAGGCACAAAACAACAGTTATATAGTAAGCCTGAGCCCAAACACAACTGGAATTTCCCGGCAAAGAAAAAGAATGAGAGAATAACAGGCACCCACAATTGCAGAAAAAGATAGACAGGTTTACTGCATGAATAGAAAAACGTCAGAAAGAGTAAGAGGGAGACCACAACTCTGTTTGACTCAACGTGGGAGAGACAGCGAGAGAAAGACAGTATAGAAACAGCCGGAGGCAAAACCATCTCCTCCTCTCCATGCTAGAACATGCAGATGTAGAAGCAAGCCAGACAGACAGGGGGGGAGACAGAACGATGAACGCCCCAGCAGACAGACAAAGGAGGAAGATACAAAGGTAGCTTTAGAGGAAGTTAGCCCAGGGCTCCACCAGAGTACTCTCCTGGTTGCTGGCTCGCCTGAAATAAGGCAGCGACAGAGCAGCTACAAATTAATGACTGACTGCAGGGATACACACACACTTACACACATCCAACCAAACACACACTCATTCACACCCACATAAATGCATTCACCCCACATAATGCACACACTTTCTTCTTAGTTGCCATTAGCAACCACATCAGGCCCTGTCCCACCTCAGAGAGTTCAGGTGTTTTGGCAGGTTAGAGAGACACAAGGCTTTGTGGGTAGCAGGAGGGAATTCCAAATGAACATGTGCCAAGTGCCTGCATCTACTCAGCAAGGTAAAAATACTTAGGGAAAGTGCTTTCATTTGTCAAATATGCAAAACCACAAAATATTTATGGACAAGTAGGAATTATGGACTTCAAAAATTGTGAATCTGCTTTAGGGACTTTAAAGCTAGGTAGGAACAATACAAACAAACAAATGTCAAGTTCATGCTTCACTGGTGGTTAGTGAATGAAAATAAGGAATCATAATGGCCAGCTGTACAAGCTGTGGCTAAAAGACAAAAATAATGTTACAGGTCCATAAGCAAAAGGGAAAAACAGCATGTCACAGCACCTGAATTGTTTGGCACACTCCTCTCCAGCTTAATTAACAGCTGCCAAGTGCCAACTAAAGCTAACACTGCCCTGAAGCAGCTTATCTACCTTAAAACCTATTAAATATTCAAACATATTCTAGGAATGCCAGAAAATAAACTTTTATTTCTGGCATTTTCAAGGTCTGAAAAATGACACCCGATAATTTTGGAGTGCAGCGCGGAAGACACGTAGATGGCTCACTATTAAGTGATGCGTTCGGGTACTTTTCATCATAACCCTGTTCAAGATCAATACAATCTTTCTCAATTATCATGTGTCTCTTCTTCCTATCACAGTTGATATTTGTATAAAAGTAATCTTATATGACACAATTTGAATATCTCCTGGTGGAATTACTGCCAGGAGAAATTAAGTACTGTATTCGAATTAGTTTGCCATTTAAATAAGATGCAGTCATTACATGTTGGGTTCTAATACTAAAGTCCATATGGCTGCACCTTTACTCCAGTCCAGCACCAGAAAGATCTAGTCAACAATTTCAGATGAATCAATAAGGTTTTTACATCACATCATTTACTGCCATCTGAAAATAAATCTCTCCAGATTGAATATTCTATTTATGTGCATACTCAGAATAGAAGTGAAATCTAAGGCTTCTGTCAAAAGCGTTGGCATAAAATACTGTGAGTACCTTCAGGGGACAAGAAAGTAGCCTTGCTTACATTATACATTTATCACAGTTCAACTCAGTCATCCCCTATGTTTGCACCTTAAGCATGCCATCCTTAAAGTACAGAGAGGCCTGGTCCACTAAAATCTCATGCCCAGTGACATCCTGCTGTCCACGCTCAGATAGTTATGTGTGCGCAGGTTGATGGATCAGCAAGAAATGTTTTTACTCAGTGCCACCATGAATATTTCCCACAGAGTGTGGAATCAGTTCCTATGCCCTCTTCTCAAGCATTCAGCCGAATGGACTCAATCTCTTGTTCGCTCACTCCCTCTTTTGAATCATCATAATTTTGCAGGAGCTTGGTAAAATAAACGTGATTTTCCCCCATGCTATGTTTCTCAATGAATAGATGGTTAATAATTCAGACCTTGTGGTTTTGAATTATTGATGTATGTAGAACCTACACGTGTGGTGGCATACTAACCGTTACAGGAAGGAAGTGGTTTGTCCCAGACACGTCTGTCTCCGCTCAGGCAGGTTAGTGTCCCGGTGCCATAGAGACTGTATCCAGGGTTGCAGGAGTACAGGACAAAGGTGTTGGCATAATGGCCGTCGTCTTGAGTCTTATAGCCATAACTAGGCACACCTGGTTCCTCGCAGCGTACTAGGTCAAAACCTAGAAAGAGACACGCAAACATAAATAGAGAGAAGCACACGCACAGGCATACAAATGAGGTCCTTCTGTCAATGCAGTAAGCTAACATTGCATTAATAAACAGGGTGATTCAGAGCCGTTTTGGACATAAGGTCAGTGTTTTCCTCCTGAATCCCAACACCTCTGCAGAAATGTAAAGTTTTAACACCTACTGCTAATGCTGAAACCTGATTTGACAGCTGAGAGATTCTACTGCTATGCTTGTGTCTATGAAAAAGGAAAAGCTTCTCCCCTTTCTGAGAGATATTATGATGTGTAGCGAGCAGCAAAGCGATTATATTTCTGGATTGAAAATGTGGTTTCTATATGGAACTGTGGGAAAACATCAAAAGATTATTTCCCATCCCACACAACCACAAATATACTGTTCACTTGAACGAGCACACTGCGAGGGACGTCTGGATGAAGATAACAAAGAAGAGAAAAGTTTTGTTTGAATAAACAAAGACACAAAAATGTGCACGTATTTTCAGCCTCTTATGAACGTCTGAGTTGCTATGTAATGGAGAATGAACACTGAATCAGTCACTATCTTAAACTGCTGTTTTAACATGTTTGGCTCTGCTTATAGTATAGAAGCCAGAAGCCAGAAGTACAAATATAGTCAAATTAAACCTATATCTAAGATTTGAATAACCTGTCATTTACACAGCACACTGTAGCAGCAGCCTTGGCCATGACCACGGTAATATAGAGATGCTGCTGAATATTTGATTCAATAAAACCTCCACCAATCATCTTGACTGTAGAGTGATGTGATTATATTAAAAACAATACATATTATCTGTTATTTCTGGAAATCAAAACTGACCGCACTTAATGTCCAATCAGTTAACTTCTTAATCAGCTTGGTAATAACGTTTTTTACAAAGCCAGCAACTTTTTAAGTGAGCTATCTTGTTTAGTGAGCCGTGCCTATCCTGCATCAATTTCAGTGAAACAGATGCATCTCATTTCTGACAACCTTTCTTGGTAATGTGTTAAACAGATGTTTGAACTCTTATTACTCCGTTAGAATAGCCTCTAACACTGTGTAGTATTAAAGCAGATTTACTCAAATCCCTGACACTAATTAAGAAACCATCGCTGTCTCTCTTGATCAGATGCTTCTCTGCCTTTTCTTCTGAATAAACCCTTTATCAATCTCTCTTATCCATCTATCCGCTCATCCGTTGTAGTAGGTGTCACCTTCTCCAGTTTAACGACTTGCAGACTAACGGCTGTATAATGGTCTTAACTGACGTACAGAGCATCCATCTAGTATCCATATACCATCTACCTTCATGTGCTTGTCCCTCCGTCCAGCAATTCTTCCACTTCAGCTGTGTCACTTCCTCATCTTCTTTTTAATGACTTGCAGATAAATGCTTCTCTAATAGCCTCCTTGACTTACACAACAGCTGGGCCTGCCTTCTTAACAGACTCTCTTTAAAGCTCATAAGATGTGTGAGTGTAGGTGAGAGAGAGAGAGAGAGAGAGAGAGAGAGAGAGAGGGATAGAGAGCAT